GCAGAATTCAGCTCAAGACTATGGTTTCCACTGGGGTTTTGACCAGGAAACTTTCCTCAGGGACGTTTGCTGGAGGAAAACATCATCTCTCCAACAGATGTTACAACCCTAAACCTTGCACAGAAAATGCTTCAGACAGTATGTAGCCCTTGGGAGATTTCAGTGATGGAAGATGGGAAATGAAAGTGGATGTAAAGATGCAAGGAGAAGATGCAAGGAGAGCGAGGTTGTTTGTGGTGGACTGAGACCTACTTGCAGGAGACAGAACAGGGCCCATCAGTCCAACACGATATCAGCAAGTTGGGGTATATCACATTTTTAGAGCCTAAAGGCTCATCCATTTCCCCTACAGGCAGGCATCTTCTCTGCTGTACCAGTTCTGAATCATGGCACTGTTTGTATATCCTGTGAGTCTGGCCCAGTTTCTGTTCTCAGTTACACCAGGAAATATTTGGAATAGTTCCAAAGATTACTGTCGATTGATGCCAAAGGAAGCAAGCTATGGCTCAAGGTCCTTGATGGAGAAAAGACATCCTTAGCACTGAGCCACATCTGTGAATCACGCTGCCGCTCTGCCCTTTGCTGGGAGCATCGCTCTGGGCCTCACTTAGAAAAGGCTCCTCAGGGCAGCCACCACGGGGGCTGAGAGCCACCCTTCCACCTCACTGTCTTCCCACTCAAAAGCTTTCCCAATGAGGAGCTTCCAGGACTAATTGCAGCAATTCCAGTGAACGGTAACAAGGGGTTGAGATTTCCAGAAGCTCTTCAGCACCCGTAGCAATCACAGCAGACAACAGGAATTGCAAACGATCAGCAAAGTTGGCTAAAGGGTTGAACGGAATTGCTCTGTCACAGTGCCCAGCCCCAGACCCACTGACACTTCTCCCCCTCTGTCTCTTGGCAATTATAGATTAAAAAGATAAATAAAAGCCACAACTTGCATGCAATCTCCCAGCTCATTCTGTACCCACAATCTATTAGCACAGCTCCTCTGACTGCCATGCATAGAAAATTGTTAAGGGTGAAGCCCTACGCTGGCATCTGCAACGCAGACCTCATCATCTGAGAGGATTTCTGCTGTGCATTTTGCTCTTTCTTCCCGCACCAAATTCCCTTTGGCACAGGCAGACTAGCCAGAAGGGATTTCTGCAGTACAGCAACAGATCTGAAAGAACTAGTTCGCCTGATATTCCCAGCACCACAACCACGTGGTTCTATTCACCTGATTTATGCCTTTCAATTGCAGCATGACCACAGGATGCAGATGTAGTATAACATATTCCCTATGCATTTCCCTGTAGTATGTTTTGGTTTGGTTTGGTTTGGTTTAGTTTGGTTTTTTTTTTCCGAAAATAATCAGGAAAGAAAAAAAAAAAAACAAAAAACAACAACAACAAAACAAACAAACAAACAAACAAAAAAAAAAACAACAAAAAAAAACTGACTTCATGCTTGGAAAAATAATTGGGAGTTAAAAAAAGAATGTTGTCCCAGCGCACTTATCCCATCAGAGAAACAGCTATGGGGTCCCACATGCCTCAAGAAAGAAAGGGGGGAAGTGAACTTGTGTCAGGAGTCTGTTTGTGCTGGAATTGGTATCTCTCGAGCTCCAGGCTATTTGTTCTGAATGAAATCATCTGCTGCTGAAAGGCTCAATAACACTCCTGAATGAAGTTTTCTACCTACACCGACTTATTAACTTCTAGGAAACCAGAGGAGGAAAAATCACCATGGAGGTCTTGCAAAAAGGAGCCATGGAGAGGGCTGGGCTCACACACATCCACATCCGCCCCGCAGAACGCCCATCCCTGGGGGGCTCAAGACAACGTGCTGCTCTTTCTTGGCCACAGCGCAGATGGAGATGGAGGGAGAGCCCTCAACAAGGCACCTGAGACCTTGCTTTGAGCTCACACTTGGCTCTACAAGTTGTCTTCCTTCCCCGCTTTGTCTTCCTTCCCCCAGCCCTTGCCGTCTGCCAAAGGGAGGTGTTTAGCAGAGGAACTGCCATCACTGAGAACTGCTATACACCACTGCAAGACCTTAGCTGAGCAAAATAATGTTGGACCCAGCAAGCCAGCCTTTGTCCTGTGCTCACATTTGCTGACAGCCACAGCTCTTCAGGTCCAGGTGGAGCTCCTCTCTCATAACTGCAGCTATTGAAAGGCAGACGTTTACTCTAAGCACATTGTTCAGACTACAAGCAAGGCAGGAAGGGTTCCTCAGCCCAACCTACACCCATATCACTCATGACACTCATGTCACCACCTTCTCAAAAGCAGTTCTGCTCTCTGGAAGCCCCTTTTGCACAGAGAAAGCCCAGAAACCCAGCCAGGGGTCTCTGCTTCTGGATGGTATCTTCAGCTGCCACTGGGTCCGTGCCCCAAGAGACACAGTAGGACCTGTGCTGGGAGCACATCTCAGGGCTCAGGCCTCTCTCCAACACTGCCCCAAGGCATGCAGGTGATGGGGATGAGAAGGGGAGCACTCCAACCATGCTGGAATGGCTTTCCTCAAACCCACACAGCCTGCTGGCAGGGTTCTCAGCTCTGCTTTTGGCTATGAAATGTCCCTCTGCACTGGAAGTTAGGACACAGTTAAGACAACAAAGGTGCTTAGGCTTTCCTCAGCATGAAAAATTCATTCCCTCCATGGCTACACCCCCTAATGAGATGATCAGTGACCTGATGAATGTCAGGTCACCGCTTCCCAGTACTAAAGGCTGTGCACTGTTTTGTAAAAGCGTGGGTTTTTTTCCCAGCTACCTTCTTTTCCCTGTTATGAAGAAACTGCCCTAAAAGTATGTTCTCTGGGAGCACACGCAGCCATCACTCCCTCGAAGCCCATGTACCAACATCTGCCAGCCAGTGGAGAAAACAGCCTCACTGCACGTGTGCATACACACATACATTGTACTTAAATATATATTTATATATGAAACATAGAACCCCAAATGTAGGTTGAGCTTCTCTAACATACCCAGTGCTGAATGGTTATTTATCTCATGTATATATCACTTATGTATCTATCTATACATCACTATCTATACATCACTTATATATCAAGACATGTGTCTTGATATATTAATACATTTTGTATGGGTTGCGATACAGAAAAAGCCCACAAACATGAGTTCTGATTTGTCTGTATTTACAACCGTGGGTGTGTCTTCATCATAGTATAATAACCCAATCCTGCTCTCTTGTTAAAAAAATGACATCTTTGTAATGGTACAAAATTATTTCTGTGTAATCCGTATAGAGGATAAGTTATTAAGGAAACAAGCATCAGAAATTGTCCTATTAAGTCAAGGCTGTGGATTTTAACCCTTTCCACCATGTCAGGTCTGGGCATGTGTGTTTATATACTCCAAGTGCTTCTGTTCACTGTATCAGAGTATGACCACAGGCCCCACAGAAAAATGCCAAGCCATTTTTAGCACAAGCTCAGCATGGCTAGGTGCCATGCTCTTCATATGTCATGAAGCCCTTCTAATAGTCCTCACTGTTTTGCCTCCTCCCTCCTCCCTTCAGAAACCCCACAATGAATGTAAACCTTCAAATCTTCCCATTGGCCATAATGAAAGGGTAGTTTAGCAGCAAAAAAAAAAAAAAAAAAAAAAGGTGCCGGGACATCATTACTCAAGTTCCAGTAAAAGTTGGAAGTCTGGCACTGGGGGAGGGAGCAAAGTTATTTCAACTGAGTGCACCCCCCAGAATAATAAATAAATAAATGAATGTTGAGACATTGAGACATTGTGCGAATAGGATCTGTGCAGAGGGTGGGCAGAGGGAACACCACCTTCAAGGATGGCATGGAATTAGAAGAGTAAGTGCTTTATATCAGCTTTTTCTTATCTGATCCTGAGAATGGTTGCACGCAAGCAGACACTTGCCCACTCCATTTGGGTAAGCTTATGGGTGTATTGAATAAGGTTCTGAGTTTGCAGGATTACAGGCATCATATGGTGCCCTCCTTTAGCACGGCTGTAAGATCTATGGGACACCAAATACAGCAACTGTACGACTTGTGGATCTGCATAAACATCAGCTCCCAAGGCAGCAGCAACCACTTACAGCCTGGAGGGATCAGCTCCAGGTTCCTGGGCTGCCCATGGGTGGATGCCTCCAGAAGGCAACAGCATGGCCCCTACAGCCCTCCGCTCAAAGCCAGCTTTGCTGCTTCCAGAGAATAAGGGATCTAAAGCACTCCTGCTCTCCTGGATGGAAAATGCTATATTGAGCCTCTACATCTGTCTTAGGTGTAATCATGGGTATGGCAAAGTTCCTGCAAAACATTTGCACCAGGAAGTAACTTGACACATGTATGAAGTTCCAAGTCGAGTGAAAGGCATGAAGTTAATTACCAGCAGAGCCTGACATTTAGAAAAGGACTTTAAACAGGATTTTTAAACAGGATTTAGGCATAAGTTTCAGCCTACGTATTTACATCCAAAACGGAGATCCAAAAAGACCTCTTCAGCCACCACCTGGCCCTGAAGATCCCAACATTTTCTAACAGCTTCCTGTTTCACCCTGAAGTCACCATATCTATACCCCTGCTTCGAGAATCCAGGGCTGACCAGGAAAACACATCCTTTCTGCCTAAGACCCTCTGAACGTCAGAAACCAACACAATGCACCAAGTCTCCAGGGGCATCTGGAGAACTCTTAACAAAACTGCTCTCAGAACGGGGCTGAGGCCTTTGGCTCTACAGCACTACCAGCTGGGAAGAAGATATCTTCCAACTCTTCTGCAATAGCTCTGTGTTCCCGTGGCCCAAACCCTGCCTCTGCAACACAAGCATTAAAACTGGAGTGGAAAATTGTGGATGTTGGCCTCACGTTGGAATGGTAGTTCACCAATTTGAGGTAAAAGGCACAAGAAGATGCCAGAGAAGGGACTGTCACCACATCCTTGTTCACTCACCCACCAGTGACACACGAAACAGAGCCCAGAGCTCTCATGGGGCTGGAGATCCCCATGATGGTGGCATGCATTACCTCTGCATCCTGGACATCCTGTGGAGCTCCATGTCATCGCTGCCGCGGAAACCTTTTGCGAAGGGGTTGTTCTCAATCTTCAGCTGAGTGATCTGAAAGGGAAGAAGAGCAATGGGTTCATTGCAAGTTCAAGGCATGGTCAGGGAGAGAGGGGATTTTGTTTATTAAACCCAGGCCAGTTAAGATGGTGGGGGAAAGACACTTTTGGGAATTCAAGTCATCCTTCAGCTCAAGCTCTGAGCACTCCAGATAGGGCGTCCTCCAGCTCTCTCCACTGGAATAGTATCTCCTGCCTTTCACTTCCCTCAGGCTCGCCCCATACCTAACACACACAACTCTCAGTGGAGGAAAGCTGCTTTCTGAAAGATCCATACCGTCTTTTTACAGCTGAGATAGAAAGGGCTGTACTGAGCAGAGGGGCTGGTGATGAAGGTGGAATTACCCGAACAAATTTCACTGACACCAACAGATATTATCTCACCTGTGCATAACCATAACCAAAAACTCTCAAATCCTAGAGCCCACTCAGCCAAGGCTCACCCTGTCTGGTTACTCTGTCTGGTAGCGAGCAGCTATTCGCACTCCAAGAGCACTGCAGTTGACATGCTTCCCCTCCCAGATGCACACTTGCAGCAACAGATTAGGAGTGTTTATCTCCCAGTTAACTATAGAATGAATTAAGGGGGCTGCTTTGCTCTCCTAGTTGGCTACTATGAGAATCTGAAGTTAGCTAGCATGAATCTTCCTCAATCACCTAACTTCAGTCTTCCTGCAACACCAAACTTAAACATTTAAAGCATCACCTATAGAGAATGTCCCTCTATCCAAGCGAGCTCTGTTGCTCACAGAGATGCAGTCCTCTCCTACTGATACCTCCCCTGAGGACTTAGGGAAATACACAGGTTTTCTCACCCTCAGGCTGATGTTAAAGCAGATATCATCTGGCCAGCAACACTGCCCACCACACTGCTGATCTTTTATGAGCTCCCATTGCTGTGCCACATTTGCCACAAGTGCTTTGGTGGCTCTGCAGAGCAAAGCTCAGGCTGGATCAGGTGTGCGCTGCCCTGAAAGCCAGCCTGCACCAGCTGCTCCTCCAGAGCTGGCATGGCAAAGTGAAGGCAGCATGAGTTTTGGCTCACTTGACAGAAATACAGCCATAAACTCACTGCTGTATGAAACAAATCTGTCTGCAGCACGCAGCCAGGGTCAGCAACCAGGGAGCACCAGCCTTGCAGGGAGAGGAGAGGTCCAGCCTCTGTGCAAATCCCCATACCAACCTTCAGCTTATGTTATATCAAATACATAGGCAGCAAAGGCTGCAATTTCCCTTCTTCCCTTTCTCCATCACTGCCAGGCAGTCCGAGCACAGGGCCAGAAGCAAGGAGAGCCCTGAGCTTGGAGCAGCTTCGTGCACTCACCATCCTTCCTTCGCACTGCCGGTGGGCCAAAGGGAAGGGAAGCGCTTGGGATTGATGGCGGGAGAACAGAGAGAGGTTCATGCTCACCAAGCCGAGCACGCACAACTGGACCCATCTCTTTGCCAAAATTCAAAGAGAGAAATCTGGGCCGGCCAGTGTCAATAACAAGCACCGCCAGGTGTCTGCACGACCAGCTCATTTTGTTTTTTTCTCATCGTATAGCATATTTTTTCCAAAGGCTAGTTGTTTACTTGACTTTTTTTGCCTAATTTGATCCCAAATCTCACACAGCCCCCATCACCCACGTATGCACATCCCCACAGGCACTCACATTAAGTCAGGACCTAATTCACCACATAAACAGGCGCTGCTTTTTTTTTGTCACGCATTTCCGATTTCAAAGCAGAGGCTGAACAAACAACCCATTTGGACCAACCTGCCATTTGAGCTGTTGTCTAGCAGTAAACCAGTGATATATTTCATAATTAAAAGCCCCAAACTGTTAGAAAGCAGCTGTGTACGTTGCAAAGTAACTGCCTATCAGTTTCCACCGCTGAGGTGGTGGCAATTCTGTAGTGAATAATAGGCATTATTCAACTTGTGGAAGGTTCCATTTAATCTGCATTCTGAAATGCACTAAATGTACGGGTTGTCCTCACTTGCCGAACCCAATGGCAATATTTGCTTGCATAAGAGAAGTCCTTCATGGAGTGAGGATTTACAGTATTGGCACCAGCACACAACCGTACAAAGGCGCGGATTCATCCCAACCTAACCAAAGGCTCTTTAACCAAGGAGCCTGCACAGAGGACCTCAGCTCCCAGTGTTCCTGCTGGAATCAAGGGAGGAGATGGGGAGTGCTAGAGGGCAGGCGGGCTCTGGGGTGGGCAGAATTGCCCAAATTCACTCTGTTCACTGAAGAAGGAGACGCCAACATGGGAGCCCTTTAGTTAAGCATCTCAGCTAACTGCTCTTTTTGACAAATCAAACCTTCAGTCCCCCACAGAATGTTGGCAAAATATCATACAAGACCTCCATCTTGCAAAAACATTGCTTTACTAGTAGAGAAACCTCCTAACTCTCTTTGGGAATGCTTAGAAACAATGGGATGAATGTACGTATTGCTAGCAGAAAGCCCCAAGTAGATCACCTGGAAATGAGAACACCTTAAAACAAAGGATCTGCTGCGTTGGAGGGGTCTAAGAGCTCTGGGGTACAGAAGGCTCCAAGTTAGGTCTGAGCTCAGTAGTGGGCAGTCTTTAGATGGGTTTCCAACTGGTTTCTCTGGATAACACTTAGGGGCATCAGCCCTAGCATTGAGTCTAAGACAGTTTTAGAAGAAAAAAAAAAAAGTGAAACAAATTAGAAAATAGAGAGCAAGCCAGTGAGCATCTGCTTTAGAAAACAGCCTCTGGAAGGTATTTTGTTTGGCTGCTTTTTGTCTGACTTCAAAACTATTCAGAAGTGGAAAAGCAAACAAATGGGTGGAAATTGCCTTCTTCTGGATCAGTTTTGCCACAGCAAAACTCTGTTTAATTGACTGCAATTCGTTGGGGGTGGGGACAAAAAAGCTGTCAGGAAGTCAAATGACAGTGACATCATTTTAAAATAAATAAATAAATGAATGCCACGTCCCACAAGGTCATTAAGATGGAACACTTGGGGCTAAATCACACAGCACGGATTCAACAAAAACATGGGGTTTTGTTTATTCATTTGTTACTAGAAGAAATTGATGGCAAAGTTATGTTATAGCCTCTGATTGCTTGTGCTGTTGCAGACCCCTGAGTGTCAAGCACTTTCCAGTGCAGCCTTCCCAATCTGCACTTCTCTGTGCCTGTCTGACCTATGGGTTCATCTTCACTTTAACGGGAAGCGACAGTTCCCAATGAAATCTCAGCGCCGCTCCTCCGCGCCTTTCTCTGGGCTAACTGACCACAGAGCATGTCTGCTGAGACATTTCCAACGGCATCTCTCACTCCAGCAAGATAAATTTGAGCTTTGCATCTAGTTAGGTGGAAGAAATGCACCATCTTTGCATTTTTCATTCTTGCCCAGCCTTGTATTTACACAGGTTTATGTCTCTAGATTCACAAGCAGCAAGGGTCAAATTACCACTCTGTATTGATAAGGTTTCTCTCCATTATTTCTAACTGTTAAACTTTGTTAGGGCTGAGGTGTCCCACACCAGCAGTTCGTTCTGGTCTCCTTTCTGTTTATGTTCTTTTCCTATCAATCAAACCAGTCCCATATTTTTGAGCACCATAGCCAAAGGGAAGCACACCGCTCTGACCCTCTGGAGGCTATTGCAAAGCCATCCCAAAGCCGGACACTTTGGAAAATCCCCACAGGTGCTGGGAGTAACCAGGAGGCTGGGCTCCAGGCTTGAAAGCACAGAGCCTTTTTCTTATGTGCTGTCACGTACCCCAGGTGGGAACCAACTCAGCATGGAGGAGAAAGCCAAACCAGAGTGGTGTGAATGGAAGGACTGGATGAAGACAAGGTGGCTGCTGAGGCTGTGTGCATCTGGCTGGGGCAGGCAGAGCAGCTGGATGGGGAAAGGGGACTCAGAGCCCAAGGGAAAGGCTGGCAGGGGGGAGAGAATGCTGAACCCAGAGGGCAGTGAAGGAAATAGGAGGGACTGTGAGCCAGTGACTGGTCAGAGCTACTGGTATGAGACAGAGGGGCCCATTGAGGAGGCTGCTGGCTGAACTGGGAGGCAAGGACAGAAGACAGAAGAAGAGACAGACCCTGCACAGTGCTTGGGTGGGGAGGAGGTGGGTCAGGAGTTGGGAGAGGGTGAGAGTGGGGAGAGCTGTAGTGCCCAGGGTCCCCTCAGAGAGGGAAGGCACAACCCCAAGGGCCCCAGGCTGAGCAGGGACAGGCTGGGGTACAGGAGTGGGCCCAGCCCCTACATTGAGGCACTCCATGGGATGCCAGCTAGACCACCACCTATCCATAGCCTCCGGCATCCTGAAGAGATGGATACAGTTCCCTGCAATCCAACCAGGAGAGCCAATCTCTGAAATAAAGCATCCTGAGCCCCAGCAGCTGCCCTCCTCAAAAGAACAGAGAGCCTTCCCTGGTTGTCCACATCACTGTGGTGCCTGTAGCATCCCAGCTAGTGCTGATGTTACCCAAAAGGAATTTGGGCTACTGAGAATGATGAATAACTTGGGGGGAAAAAATCAGCATAAAACCGGATATCCTGAGGGAGGGAAAACTAATATAAAGCCCAAGTCCAGCTAACAGGGAAAGTAGGTTGTAAAAATTAATGAGAATAATTGTTGTGAATTCTTGCTTTTGAAAGAACCCTCAAGAGGGCAGAACCTTAATTATTTCTGTCTATTAGGGTTCATTTCCTGGTCCTAAGTAGAGACCTAGTACTTAATAACCAGTAACACAATGATTTAAGCTACAGCAAAATGGTACTTAACTGTAGGGGAAGTTAATATTTGGGAATCAACCTGATTGCAAGCACCCATTGTGTAAATGGCAAGGAAATGAAATACGCATGTGACCTATTTTAACACCTTGATATTTCTGGGGTCTTTTCTCAGGGCTGCAGTGACGGGGGAGGTGGCCGAGCCAGCTGCTGACAAGTCCACTGAAAAATTAACGAAAACGTTCCTCGTAGCTGAGCCCTCCTTTTGGGGAGCAGGCTGGGGAGAGGGAGAGCCCAGTGGGCTTAAATATCTTTGCAGGCTGCCTAAAATATCAGGGGAAATAAGCACAAGGCCTGTATTGGGATTGCAGCTGTGCTCTCGAAATGAACGGGCTGATCCGCAATCAGACAGGTATTTCTGTGGGCTGTGTAAGCATCGAGTCACATGCGGTTATGGATGAGTCGTGCAGGGAATACTACATGCTGCAACATCATGCAAGCATGACATAGTTTTTGAAAGCACACACGTGTGTAGGCTTATGTGTGCACCTGTGCATGAAATTGTGCATGTAAAAGGAATCACTGCGTAATAATGGTGTGTAATTGCACGGACAGGAGGATCTGTGTGAAGGGTGCTCTACGGCTGATGGATGGAAGTGAGAGAGGTGGCAGTAAGTGGGTAAGAATAGGTAGTGCGCAGAGACACACGAGGATGGACAACCAGACCAAAGCTCCTTGCTGAGCTCCACAGACACAGCCTGCGATCACTTATGGCAATAGGAAGCATAACCCAAAAACACTCTTGGCCCCAAAAACACCCCGCTGTGACAGCAGAACTGGGGCTTGTGCCCACAGAGCAGCCCTACACGCAACGGATGTCACCATTCCACACTGCCAGCACCAGCTGCACCCTGGTGCTGCGCCTCCTCGACACAGGGGCAAGCTGCAGATTTTATTCCCTTCCCTGGAGGGAGATGCCATTTAGGGTAGATCACTCCCTGGTTTATTTTTATGGCCCTATCTTTCTCAATTGGGGCTTTATCTTGGGGCTACAGCCATTTTTTTTCTCGTTCCCCCAATGACTCAAGGCAAGCAAGGAGAGGAATGCGTGTGCTGGGGGGGGAGGGATGTGAGAGCATGTAAAATGTGTAGGGGGTGTGTAAAATATGTAGTGGTATCTGTGTGCATGTGCATGTGTCTGCAGGGATGCAAGCGCGTGTGCGTCTGTAGAGATTCATGCGCTCGTCAGTGTGTGTGTTTTGACAGAGACGGATACGCAGATGTCATTCCTTATCAACCAGATGTTGTTGATTTACAATCAAATATCCCCGCTCCTCCTAATATGGCAGTTTTCCCAAACTACTGTACTTACATGTTTTTGCTTTGCTTTGTTTTATTTGCGTGGTAATTGTCCCCCCCCCCCCCCCCCCCACATAACAGTCCTATTTTTCTTCAAAGGAAAGCAATTAAATTCAGGCCTGTTTTCTCACAGGGAAATGCATTTAAAGCAAGCAGTATGTCCTGTTTTATTAACTCCCTGTTCTATTAATATTATATTCTTTCTCCGAATCCATCAAGCAGAAGTTAAACTCGATTTTATAGCATCCACAACGGAGTTATAATTTAAGGCATAATTTGGCGAGGGCTCAACTTGGATCCAGTCTGCTTGTCCTGGCTGTGCCAGCAGCTCCTATTTTAAAGGGCAGGGAAGTATTTTCTTTTCTCCCTAGTTACGGTGAAACACTCTTTCTTCTCCAGCACGCTTCTGCTTTCTGCAGCTCCCTGGCCAACCAATGGATGGAGGAAACACAACCATTTCATGCACATTTAGGAGCTTCCCCGTTACATCTCCAGGAAAGCATCCAGAATTCAACTAAGGTCTTATCTGACCTTTCTCCATTTGAAAAAATAACAGAATGCTTTCACTCAGTTGAGCATAAGAGGGGCATTCTACCTGCCCACAAGTCCAAGCAAAGACCCTGCTTTCAATGCCATTAGGGGAGCCCTTTCGGGGGCACCCCCAAGGAAGCCTAAATTGACACATTTTCACACATTTTGCTTTGTTCTGCTCGGGCAGGAGCTGACTCCAGCCTCAGAGCCTCCCTTCCTGCCAGGGTCTCACTGCCCTCGGTTGGTGGGGACGGAGTCGTCCCCAAACAAAGGGACAGAGCACAGCCAGCTGGGGTTATCAGAGCCCCAGCCACAGAGGGGAGCGCCCAGCTCCCTTCTCCAGCACCAGATTACAGCCTTTGACCGATGTGGGGAAAGAAGATAAAACCAACTTCCTCGGTTGGTCGCCTCCACTCTGAGCAAGCCATCCTGTTTGAGCTCATTCCCCCTTGGCGCGCCTTGAGCCCCTTCTTTGGATACTTTGTGCATACTGCCAGGAATAACAGAGGGGATGGGGACAGAACAGATCTAGACGGATGGGGAGGGATGTGGGGAACAGAAGGGAGCCAGGACTGTGGCAAGTGGGGAGGTGAGAGAGATGATGGTGGGGTGGGAAGGACCCGAAAAGAAACTGTGTCAGAAGGGAGTGAGGAAGAGGAGACACAGTTTGCTGGTGTGAAGGCCCGGCCGAGCTCTCACCTTGTGGTTTTGGTAGGATGTAACAGCAATGAAGGCGGTCTCTGGGAAGACATGGGTGCAGAAGGCTGTGTTCTTGGAGCCGAAGCCGTTGTTCTCATCTGCCTTCACGATGTGGAGCCGGGGCTGGTATTTGTGCATGGAGTTCAGGATGATCTGGGCATGGGGAGAAAGAGAGGACAGACCGTGGGAATGGAGGGGGCACAACTCAGTGCATTCCCAACCCGTGCAACCTTCTCATGGAGAGAGGAGGCAGAGAGGGAACTGCAGTCCCTTCCCCGAAAAATTCTCCCACATCAGAGCTCCTCAGAAAGGATGGAGGAGGAAACACCTCTCCAGAGAAGCATTCCGCCACAGCCAAGGAGCCCATTAGGGCCCCTAACACATTTCCCAAAGCTGGAGAGGGCTCTCTTTCTCTTGCAGCACCCCCAGCAAGGGTACCTCAATCTTCCCAGCAATCCAACAAAGCAAGGGATGAGAAGCAGAGGAATTCGTGTGTCCACCCCCCCCCCACCATGCCACCCGCAGAGGATGGGGCAGGAGGGTGGTGGGGAGGGAAGCACTGCGCTCAAGATAAAAAGCGGCCCCTGCTCCGTACCGGGTTAATCTCCGGGGACAGTGGCGGGGATGGGGACGGTGGGGGAGGGGGGGACCCGCGCCGATAATGACCGGACCCTGGCGACAGCGAGACGCAGCGCGCCCCAACGCCAGACCCCGACCGCCTCGCCGCCTCCCCCTTCCCGGGGGTTTAGGCAAATTGCTTTGACATCCGGGAAAGCCGTAGACATCAACGGTGAACGATCTAATGGTTTTTAATTTCATTACCGCGACTCTAATTGAGAGGCTCCTGGTGCAGCTCCGCCTCTGAAGTCCCTATTGACCCAGCAGCCCGACTCTGCTTGCATGGACTTCTCCCCAGAGCCGCCTGCTCGCAGCGGGAGATGCCTGGCCCCGGGACCCGGCCGGATCCCCCCCCAAAATCTCCCCCCTCCAAAACAAAATTATATTAAATAATAATAATAATAAGCGAAAGCAGCAGCGCTTGCAAAGCGTCTTAATTCGGGTCCCAAAGGAAAAAAATAAATAGTAAATAAATAAACCAACCAACCCTGAATTGGAGAGGGAAAGCGCGGCTCGGACAGCGATGCTCAGCGCTCAGGTGCGCTGCGGGCTCGGCTGGTTTCCTCCCACTCCCCGCCCCCACCGGACAGGATTTAGGAACACGAGGTTTTCAGTGTTAAAAAGTGAAAACAGAAGGAAGAAGAAGAAGGAAAAAAAGAAGAAAAAAAAGCTTGGGGAAAAAAAGTGAAACCGAAGTGTTGAAATGAGACTGGAGAAAAATGGGCTCTTGGAAAAGGATGGTGGGATCTGGATTCATATACTCACTTAAGTAATTATATATATTTTTATAGATATATATATTTATAATTCATAGACGCATATATACATTTGCTCAGAAAAAAACATGTCTTTGGAGACCTCCGAAGGTGGGCTGCTTCTGGCTGCAGAATTCACACAATCTTTCACGGCCCCTTGGGTCCAACAATGGTTGGTGGTGCGATTTGGTTTTTACTTTTTTTCTTTTCAACCACGTGGTTGTAGGTCCTATTTCCTCCAATAATTATGCCTGATTGATTTTTGCCTGTTAGCCAAATTCATGGAAGCTACGGGCAGATTTTAAGGCTTTCAGACCCCCTTCGGGTTAAAACCAGGTAGCTGAGGTGTCACTGAAGCCAGGCACTGCGGTCTGTAATCAATTCCCACGCAGTGCTGTGAAATAGATCTTTAAAACATGGGCTACGTATCCTTTTTTTTTTTTTTTTTTTTGGGGGGGGGGGGGGAGTAGGGGGGGGCGGGCACACATCACTGGGGCTCATCCCGTCTTACCAGGGGGGAAGATAATACCCCAGTCAGATAATGGATTTAGACTACAGGTTCGGTGGCTCTGGGCAATGCGATGCCACTCGTAGGGACCCGATTGCGCGTGGGATCCCACGGTCGCTCTGTGAAGCACAAATCCGCGTCTCCCGGCCCTATCCCAGCACGGTACTCACATGTCCGAAGGGATCGAGGTGGTTGTTGGTGAGCTTCAGCTTCTGGAAGGAAACCAACTGCCTCATCCAATGGGCTCCGGTAGCGGGGGAGTCGGGGTGCACGTAGAGGCGGCCGGGCATGGCCGGCTCTGCCTTCCCGGTCACGGACCTGCGTGGGACAGAGGCGCTGAGCTCCCACCCGTGGGGTCCCCCCTCCTGCCCCCAGCACCGTGGTGCCCGGCGGTCTTCGGGAAAAAAAAAAAAAAAAAAAAAAAAAAAGACGTTTACGGACACACACAGTGCGCGGAGAATTAATGGAGATCTTTGGCACTTTTCCCGTCGAGGTGGCCGTTTCCCCATTTAACCCCATCCTTCCTCCTTCCTAATTGCGGACACCCAAACAAGGAGCAAAGAAAACACCGCGTATCCACCCTTCAGCATCTCCCCCGCCCGGAGACGCTGCTGCCCGAAGGGTAATTAAACTACTGGCACCAGGATGGCCAACGATCTCACCGTTAAGCAGGATTACAGGCACTGTTCTCTAATTGCAACAGATTTGGCTCTCTCTTTTGTTTGTTTTCTTTTTGTGTTGTTCTCCAGAGGTGCGTCCCGAGACCCTCAGGTACAGCCCAGCATCCAGCAGCTGCATCTCCCACCCTATGCCGCCCCGGGATCGGGCAGCCCGACACGAATCAGCGCTCCCTTCCCTCCCCCCCCCCTGAGTGCGTACCATTTATTATCTGCAAATTTGTATCTGTGGTCATCCGCTGGTACAATATCCATCAACAGTATGTACTTCGTTTTTGGATTGAGTCCAGTGACCTTCACTTTGTAACTGGGAAACATACGCCTATAAAAGAAAGAAGTGCGTAAATACAAAAGCGAAGAAGGGAAAGTTTCCCAAGGTGGATCTGTGCGCTGTGTGCGGTTTATCAGAAGTGGAGGGGCCCTGCAGCCAGGCGGGGGCACATCCTGTACGGGGGGGGCCTGGAGGGGGACCTGGGGGGACAAGGGACTTGAAGAGGCGGAATCGTAGTTACGATCCCAGCGGGTTGGTTTCTTCACCTACCCCTCAGTTCGCCTATTTGTTATCATTTCTTTCACCAATGCTTCAATTTAAAAAAAAATAATAATAAAATAAAAAAATTAAACAAATCTGGCCGCGAGATCCCTTGGAAGCAACTGACTTTCCTGTTTGCTTAAACTGTTGGAAGAGCAGGGGAAATAAGCCAAAAAAAAAAAAAAAAAAAAAAAAAAAAAAAAAAGGGAAAAATATATGTATTTCTGCAAAAGTACGCGTTTTAAATGTGCACATTTCTCCAAAGCTCCCGTGTGTATCAACCTCTCCGTTCCCAGAAGCTGAAGGAACACACGCGCTCAGGTGTAGCACCGAGGACGTGCATACAGAGACATCAGCAAACACACCTGACAAATACTTGGAAGCACGCGAATACACACTGAGGACAGCGGCTTTTCGAAATAGTTTCCATTACTGCAAGGCAGGGACTTAAAACACTGATGTTATTTTAGTTCGAGCTTTCCAAATATTTAAAAATAAAGCAGATGAAAACGTAGCCCTTGACTTAAAACACGCATAAACAAAAAGCCCCACACCTCTAAAAATACTGCGCACTTCTCCGGGGCTCGGGTTCTTATCTGTGCGATAGGGCATCTGGGCCGGTGTGTAAATTCACGTGCTAAGAGATGAAGGGGGGGAAGCCGGTGATTGATGGGGGGTTACGGGGGTAGACCGAGGGAGAAGAAACCAAATTCCACCCGAACACGGATCTGCGCGTCCACCTCAAACACCTGATGGGCAACGGCGCGACCCCGGGCTTCTGCAGCAATGAGCATAAGGAATTCTATGAAGAACAACTATTCTGTGCCTGCCCCGGTGCTGCGTGCGCTTTCCCCTAAACACCCCGCTCTATAAATGTCGGTTTTATAGCTCTCCAGACGATGTTTCTATGCGTTACTTTATTTGTTTGAAATCTCCGCAAGGTGGTTTTTGTCCGTCTTCCTCCTTGCGCTGCTTTCTGAGAGGGAAAAAAAAAAAAAAAAAAATCTGCTTTTCTTCGCGAAGTTTCCGTGTCCCCGAGCGGAGGCAGCGCGCAGCCCGCGTCCCCACAGGGTCTGGGGGCGGAAGGACAACGCTGCCAGCAGCTCCGCAGCCGCGCATTTCCCGCACAGGTCGCCCTTTCCAGCAGCAGAGCAAGGCGAGCAGTGAGACAGACCCACTCGCAGCGCTGTCTGCAGCCAGCTCTATTTTTTTTTTTTTTCCTCCCTCTCCAGGCAAATTTTGGAAGACCACAACAAATACCAGATGACAGAGCAAAATGAAAGTCTGACTTGGCGTTGCTTACTGTGCCCTCGCCTCCTAACGCTGCCATTCTCTCTTTGCTGGAGGGGTTTCCCTTTTCAGATCGAGCCTCGGGCAGCGCCAGGTACGGCAGTTCGTTTCAAACCGTAGCGAAAAGAGCCCCGAGCTCGCAGGTGACCGTTGCGCTGGATCTCCCCTTGAGCAGCCCTCAAAGACGCTACTATTAAGGATAAAGCTGAATAACCTCAAACGCACTGCAGTACATCCGCGTACACACACAAATATCTGTGGATCGGGTTTGCTGAGCCGGCCATGGAATCCATTACGCACAGTCCCAATAAAGTTGGATTTGCGAGGCTGTATATTTTTCTACACACCCACGCAGGCGAGAGCACACATATAGAAATGTGTATCTGGACGCGGTTAGACACGCATGCTATTTATTTGCGGGCACATCTATTTATGCATCTAAACCGTTACGCTATCGGTATATAAACAGTAGCTTAAGACCACATATACTTTTAAATGGGATGGTGTGGGTGTTCCGCGTGTATTGGCCTCAATGAGCGCGTAAGAAATTAGAAGGGTCTGGAAGAAAAAAAAAAAAAAGAAAAAAAGAAAAAGAAAAAAAAAAAAAAAAAAAAAAAAGGACGGCGTTCCAAAATCGCGGAAGGACAGAGCTGCTCCTTTAGTTAAAAATAATGGTAATATTAACGAGATCGCCCAGCGAACGGCTCTAAACAAGGTCAGCTTTTGGCCAAGTGGCTGCAATTCGGCTCTTGACTGGAAAGCTTCCAAAGGCCTTGAAATTGGGATTAACGATCCAACTGTTCTGGTTAAGAAAGGAGCCAGAAGAAACAATTTCTTCTCAATCCATCCTCGCAGGGGTGTCACGGAGACCCGGGGCAGCAGCGGGGCTGAGGCCGGGCACCTCCATTCCGCCGTGGGCACGCACTCCCCACGCACACGAGCACGCGTGGAGAAGCTCAGGGTGTGTATTTGTGCAAAACTCTCCCCGCAAGCACCGACGGAGGAGGAGGATTCGGCCCCACGGACACAAAGGGCGTGCGGCCGCCTCCCCCCGTTGCACTGGGGCTGCTTCTTACCTTCCAGCCTTTGTTATGATCATCTCCGTCCCCACCTCGTGAAATTTCAGCCACAGCTCCCGCTCGTGCAAAAACACTTTGATCCCCTCCATGCCCTGCAAAGCAGAAAGGCAGAGCCATGAGCACCGAGCCCCGAGGAGGAAAAACCAGAGAGGGAAGCAGCCGGGCGGTGGGGCCGGAGTTCGGGGAACGCTTCCCGGGCAGCGCCGGATCCTGCGGGCCCCGGTGCTGCGGGAGCGGGACGGCCGGGCCCGGCTGGGAGAAATCCCCCCTGCTGCGGTCGGGAGGCGGCCGGAGGAGATTCACATCCTTCTGATGAGTGATTTACACCCGCTTTTGCAGGCTGGGGTCCAATCCTCGCACCCCTCCGTCCTCGCCTTGTTAGCCCGGTCCGGAGGCATCGCTCTGAGCGGGGCGGGAGGGAGACCCACAGCCTGACAAAACCCCCAAACCGAGGACACGTACACCCCTAACGATAACAGAACCGAAAACCGAGCAGTCATCGGCCGTGGGATCTCCTTCCAGGGATTTACCTGCGGCCGCCTAAGGATCCCGGCGAAGCCCTACACCCCGGCACCGAGCTCCGGGGCCAGCTCTGAGCGCTGCCGCAGCCCAGCTCCTTGGCCCGGCCCTGCCCTCCTCTGCAGCGTGGGGAGAGCAGTTTGCTGCGGCCTGCCGGTGAGCCCACGTGTGTAACCGCGACTCGGGGGGGTCCGTCGGGTGAGGGTTGGTGGGGATGTGCGAGGGGACCCCGGCTGTGCCCAACCCCCCAGTGGCTGCGGGCTGCCCACGCGTGACACCCACAGCGTGCCCTGGAGCCCAATGGCGGGCAGAGCAGTGTGTAGCCGGGGTACACAGGCACAGTGTGTTCACGTGTACATTTTCATGTGTATATATGCTCATACGTGTCTTAAACCAATCCACACAGGCACATAGCAAATACACAGCTGTCTGAGCTTGCATCTGCATGTGCATTTCTACGCTCAAGCACTGGCTGTGTGTGCCTGTCCTTGCACAAAAGGGTCCCTCCCTGTGACATTCACTGCGATTTTTCCCTGCATGCCCCCCCAGCACTCAAACACACCGCAAAGAACAGCAAAGCAGGAAAGAGCCCACCGCCCTGACCATCAGGTGAGAGCTTTCCTTCCCGTGAGGCCTAAAATGACTCATTCCTGCCCAGCTCAGGAGTAGAACTACAGCTGGGATCGGGGGGAAAACGCAGAAAATTGGCAAAAAAAAAAAAAGAGAGAGAGGGGGACGAAAGAGAAGGGGAGCTGCGTCCGGATCCTTACCTGCTGTGTGAAGGCTGCCTGCGGAGAGGTGGGGGCCTTGCTGGTGGTCCCCAGCTGGGGGTCCTGCTTGGCCTCAGCCTGCAGCTCCTTGGCCTCCGAGTCAGCCGGCGTGCTCGGGAGCCCGAAGCCTTCCTCGGTGTCCGCCATGTTACGAGCTTCCTTCGCCGAATCCCCCACTGCAGGCACACATCGAGGAGAGAGCAGAGATAAGAGGCACATAAGTCAAGGCTGACGCTCAATCAAATATATATACATTAACGATACACATGCGCTGAGCCCGGCGCTGGGCAGGGCGGGAGGGCGAAGCAGCGCTGCTCGCAACTCACTTCCAGCAGCCCGGGGAGAGGACAAGGCCCTTTAACTTTTGGAGAGGGAGAAATAAAGACTTTTATTTATTATCGCAGCCCGCAAGGGATGATAGGATTTGGGGTGGGGGATGGGGAGAGGGGAGGCGGTATTATTAAATGCATCTTTTGGACAAGGTAAACAGCCGCCTGCCCGCAGTCCGCCCGGCAGCGTGCACGGGGCACCTTGCCGCGGGACCGAGCCGCTCAGCACACGCGTGGCCACGAGGTGGGGGTGTCCCGGGGGGGGGCTGGGCCTCCCCATCCCCCGGGCCGATATCGGGCTCTCTGGGCCGGGGAGGCTGAAAGATCCCCCCGTCCTCCCCTAGAGGTAGGAGCCACTTTCCAGCAAGCGAATGCCTCCGCCACGTGACGGCGTTTATATAACCCCAATTCCAAAGAAAATTCAACTTCGTGCACCCCTGTGAAGCGCGACCTTTCCGCCAAAGTAAAATAAAACGAGTCTTTTATCCATCCTCCAAAACCCCAAACTCAAAACGCTGTCCCGAATAGTCGCAAAACAAGTCGGATTGGACGGACGAGACGATTTAAAAACATCTAAAAAGTGCGAATCAGTCCGATATGGTGCAAAGTAACGTGCGCATGGACTGCACATGCAGTGAGCTGAGCCCTAACGGGAGGAAAACTGCACCGGCAGAGCCTGAGAAATCCGCCGCTTACATCTGATGCGAGCAACAAGAGGAGTTTTAAAGGCGGTGTTTTGGTGGAGCTTTGAGGGCTCTATCAGGACTGGTAAAAGTTCCAAACAGGAAAAAAAAAAAAAAGAGAGAGAGAGAGAGAGATAAAAAAAGTTAAATATCTGTAAGTATTTTTTTTTTTTCGTTTGTTTTGAGGAGTTAGGAGTTTTAATAGCTTCTAAAAAACCTCTCTCGCATGTTTCAAAGAAGAGGATTCGGTTTTGAAAGGCCAGCCATATGGAGACAATATTGGTCTTAAGTACACGAGAACGGTTTGAAATGAGTCCTCCATCTCCCTGCAACAATATTTAAAAGCCTTTAAAAGAAAACATAAAAAAGGCAATTCTCCTTTAAATGCAGAGGAGAATTGGGAGTGGAAAGGAGGGGGAGAAAATGCTCTTCCCTGCTAGTGGTGGGTAACGTATACATACACGTATATATAATTTAAGAGGACAAAAAGCAAAGGGACTGCGGGTCCACACCTCCGGAGCTAAAGATCATTGACAGAAAGACCCCCGTCCTCGGGTCCCCACCCCCCCTGCCCTCTCCTGCGCTCCCTTCCCACACTGCGGGGCAGGAGAACAGCGCCCGGTGGGACTGCGCGGAAAATGCGCGGCTGGGAACCCGCGGACATCGAGTGCAGCCTCGCAGCTGCCGAGCCATAGACCGTAAGGGGTTTCTCTTCCCCTCCTCCTCTTTTTTTTCGAGCTGTTTGGGTTTTTATCATAATTATTATTTCCTTTTCTTCTCCCCTCTCCTTTTTGCTACAGCCTCGGAAACCCTCGCTATCAATTTCGAATCGATCTTCCTCCAGCGAGGATCTATTCCTCCCCTTGAGCCGGCAAAGTTAGGAGGCGGGTGGGGGAGAAAAGGCACGTTTATTAAAACAAAGAGGGTCCCAGATATGGCAGCGCAGGGGACGAGCCCCTCTCCCCGTGTCGGCGGGTCAGGGAATAATTAAGCAGATTAAAAATAATAATAAACCGAGGGGTGACCGTGGAAAGAAAAAAAAAAAAAAAAAAAAAAAAAAAAAAAAAAAAAA